CTGTCACAGGGATTAGGTTACTCTCTCTGCTTCTGTGAGCTCATGGTGTTGCTGTCTCAGTGCCTCAGCAATGCTGGAGAGCAGGGGTACATTATTTGCTCCAAAGAGAGACAAGGAACCCTTGGCTTGTTTAAAATCAGAATCAGCTTTATTGGCCAGGTGTGTAGGACACACGAGGGATTTGACTCAGGTACAGTGGCTCTCAATGTGTATGTACATGTGCTTCTGTAAAGCAGTGAATAGTAAACAATATAAGGGTGAGAGAACATAAAAGGAAAGAAAAAGAATGTACATTAGGAAAAAATAAAACTAAAGTACTTATAAACAGTGAACTATATATACACACAGTTCAGATGCATTTTCCAGAGTGATATATACAAACATGTATTTACAGGTATTGCACTGAGGGTTGCTATTCTCTTATATAGTCATTGGTCAAGTGTTCATCAGTGTGATGGCCCGGGGGAAGAAACTGTCCTTGTATCCGGTTGTCTTGGCGTACAGTGACCTGTAACACCGTCCAGAGGGGAGGAGTTCAAACAGCTCATGTCCAGGATGTGAGGGGTCTGCAGAAAGCTTCTCTGCCCTCCTCTTGACCTGTGAGGTGTACAGGTCCTCCATGGAGGGCAGGTTGGCGCCGATGGTTCTTTCTGTAGTTCTGACTCGTCTGGAGTCTGTATTTGTCCTGTTTGGTTGCTGAGCCAAACCCGACAGTGATGGAAGATCAAAGAACATATTTGACGATTCCTCTGTAGAACTGTATCAGAAGCTCCTGGGGCAGGTTGAACTTCCTGAGCTGGTGCAGGAAGTACATCCTCTGCTGTGCCTTCTTGGTGGTGGTGGTGCTGATGATGGATGTCTACTTCAGGTCCTGGGAGATAGTGGAGCCCAGGAACTCTACTGCTGATACAGTGCTGATGAATATGGTGGGGGGTGGGGGCACTCATCACTGTCTCAGATGAAACTGATGACTGTTGTGTCATATGCAAACTTTAGGAGTTTAACAGAGGGCTCCTCCGAGGTGCAGTCATTGGTGTAGAAGTGCACATTACCAAGGCAGCCTTACACGGCACCATGACAGTTAGCTTATACAGTATCCAGTTTTAGTGACTTCATTTTTGCTGAAAACCTTTACATATCAGTCAGGGGAATGAAATCAGTGCCATTCACTATAATTCATGCTGAATTCAAATACTATCCCAGTTCTTGCTGTCTCTAGTATGGTGTTCCAGTATAATATATTACCACATCGGCCACTGGATATGCTCTTTGACTAGATCTCTGGTTGCATCTTTCCATGCAGACGCAGGAGTAGTTGTGGCAGCAGCTGCAGGCTGCAGGATGTGGTGAACTCATGTCACTGTTTCATCGTAACAAGAATTCGCAGAGTTGCACCCTGCATCTCTGTCACACTACTGATGTGCAGTTGTTGTGGTTTACAGTGTTAGTGTATTGTTGTACATTTCATAATTTGATTAGTGCAAATCTAATGTGAAAGTTATTATCCTTTTGCTTTATAAATATCACAGAGGTAACACTGTTTGATAGTAGTCCGTTGCTGATAGGAAACAGTTGTGACCAGAGTTGGCACTCCTGATACCAGGAGTGGGTTACTGATATTAACACTGGTTGGCCTGCCACTGGCCCATAGTTGCTGCTATGGCAGTAGCCTAGATAAGATTCACTTTATCAGCTTGGGATTTAATAGTGCTGTACATTTGCATGACACAAAGAGCCTCACTGATTTGTAAACCTGTTCTGTCTGGTGATATTACCACACATGCAGTTCCATCTTACTAGGTGAGTGAAGGCTTTTTAGCATGGAGTTTTTTTTTTGCTGGTACAACATTAAATATTATGTTTTTAATGTAAACATCGAAGGTATGCTGTTCTTGATTCTCGGTATGTGGCTGTTTTTAGTTAGTGCAGTAACTACAGTAAAGTAGCAGTTCGTTTTTTAAAAATGGCGCTTTCTTTGTTCCTGGACAACTCGCACTTGATGACGCGATTTCTCTGTCCAGTCGCTGGTCTGCAGTGAACCTCGACGGAGGTGATACCAAAAATAGTACCCAATATTTGATACAAATAAGGCAAGGCAAGGCATGGCAAGTCGAGTTGAGACGATACCAGGCGGTGGAAAAGGGGCTTTGTAGCCACAGTGGGCTGGCAGAAAACCTGCATTTACCACTGGCCACCAGATTTGACTACCTGCCTTGCATGTGGTGTGGTTGCCCTTGTTGTCAGCCACAAAACTCATGCATTCAGATCCCTTTTTTGCATTATTTTTGGTAACTATGTTATTTACAGAGCTAGACACCCTTAGAGATAGGGTGAGGAGCTCGGTCACCCAGGAGGAGCTCAGAGTAGAACCGCTGCTCCTCCACATCGAGAGGAGCCAGCTGAGGTGGCTCGGGCATCTGTTTCGGATGCCTCCTGGGCGCCTTCCTAGGGAGGTGTTCCGGGTATGTCCCACCGGGAGGAGGCCCTGGGGAAGACCCAGGACACGCTGGAGGGACTATGTCTCTCGGCTGGCCTGGGAACGCCTTGGCATTCCCCCGGAGGAGCTGGAGGAAGTGTCTGGAGAGAGGGAAGTCTGGGCATCTTTGCTTAGACTGCTGCCCCCGTGACCCGGTCCCGGATAAGCGGAGGAAAATGGATGGATGGATGGATGGATGGATGGACTTATTTCTTCAAAACATGTATACTGCTCTTAAAGGTCATAGACTATTTAACTGGGAGTTGTTATTCAGAATAGTTCCACATCAGCAGCTGGGTCCATATGTTCTTCTCTCCTTGTCTTTTTGAATAATCAGACCTGAAAGACAAAATGGTAAATCCATACAGAAATTTTTCCTTGGCTTCCAAATGCTAAAATCATCAAAGAAAACATTGGAGATGTCACTGCTAATCCATCTCGCCTTACAAAATGAAGACGGCCCCACACTTGTTGCACCTTGCCTGCCTCTGTGGTCTGTTTTTGCGATTACAGAAGTGGAGAAGGAGTTGGGAAAAAGGCTGTTCAAAACAGAAAATGTACAAATCTGGTACATTTTAAAAATTGCATATTTAATTTAGGAGTGATATTGCCTATTTATCAGAATGTATGAAGTGAAGACAGGTGGAAGCACGAAAAGCTATCAGACTAGGGTCAGATGTGTTAAACTATGCCCTTATTTTATATGTGATGTGGAACTGCTGATGAATCAGGCTGCCTGTTAATTCCACTAGGCAGCAGTGTAAATGGATGTAAACGTGACACCATTTGAGCAGTTTGACCTGTCTGACCTTGTGTTTTGTGCTTTGGAGCAGTGAGTGACCTTAGCTCAGTCTATAGCTGTGCGATGAGCTCAGAGCATCTGTCACTTAACTTTCTGATCTTCCCTCACATCTGCACAGTCATAAAGTCATGGTGGTGTTAATGTGCACTTAATGCCTGGCCATCCCTAGATGTGGGGGGCAAGGCAGTGTGCTTTCTGAAAATGGTAGATAACTGGGAAAGGGATAGTCTGTTATGGAGCTGGAAAAGATGGGAAGTGATGTGAATAGAGGAGGGGTGGATATATACATCACTTGTCAGACAGTTCTCCAGCCCAGCCCAGGGGAGTGGAGAGATTATTGCTTTTGTTTTGGTCAAAGAGGCAGCACTTGAGAGTAAATCAGCTCTTTGTTTTTGTGTGTCGCTTCCTAACATGCCTCCCAGCATTCATTAATTTAGAGTTGGGAAAGAAGCAGGCAACATACCATGAAATAAAGCCACAGTATACCCTTTAATGTCTTTGGTAGCCTAAATGAAGTCTGCAACACCCCCTATGGGGAGTTGTAGCTCAGAACACAGGTGTCCCTCCATTAAAATTTAAATGTGAGATCAGTTACATTACTGCACTGCCAGTTTGGGATCTTTATGTTACATCTCTTAGCTTAGATGTGGCACCACTGCTGTTACAGTATGTTTTCTAAAGGGATCATTCTTCTCATCTTGACTTTTCCTCCATAAAGCTGTTCTTTGCTCATATTCTATGCTTATTTACTTAAGATCAGGTTCTGAGCCTATCTCAAGGCCAGCTGCAGCTGAAATCTAGACGCTGCTGCTTTATATTAAAACTAAGAGCTCTCGATCAATGAGGTCAATGTCTGGACCTTGAAGTCAGTCAGGGGGAGAAAGGTGAAACTCTATTCACGTCCCATGGCATCAGAAAAGCTGAGCTGCTACTTCAGGAGAACCTCACTCCCCTCAGCGCTGACCCTAGTATGTGCCTGACTGCTGATGGCCAGATTGGTCATTGTTGAACATGAACAAGTTTTGATTGTGGATCACAGTATTCCTACATCATGATTTTAGATAGCCTGGGGAATGTGAAAGTTCATGTGATAATCAACATTGTAACAGTGAAGTTTAGCTTATGTGCTTCACATAATTGCAGCACTCACATGGGCTGCACACTTAGGAAAAATTATAGGTTGGTGGAAAATTAAAAATATTATCTTACACTATTGGTACCCAGTAAGAGCCTCATTCCTGGGCGTAGCCCCACTAGTGACGTACAGTGCCCCTGTACTTCCCCATTGCAGTAATCTTTGCCATATTTCTGGCTCCCAGGTTTATGTTTGACGCCTAAGACAATAGACAATCCTTGGACTGTTGTTCAGAGGAAATCATCACCTCTGCAAATGTATGAAGACTGTGACTACAGAGATTAGCTCTGTATTCTCTGTGTTTATAACTGTTACTTCAAGAATAAAATTGGTGCGTAGAAATTGTAAATGAGCAGACTAAACTGTGGAAATAGTATCTTGTATTTCATCAGGGTTCTGGCCTTGCTGGATTATATCTGGATTGCATTGTACATACATAAATATATTATTTGGACATTACTACATGGAGAGTGGCTTGGTTGTGTTTTATAATTAAGACAAAAACATGTATATTCTGAGTGTTTTTCACAACTCTTTGGGAACATTTTGAGAAGACTCAATTTATATTGTCCCTGTTCTTTTACTAGGTCAACAGAGAGGTGTCAGAGCCCTTGAATTTCTCAGTTTTGATGCAGTACAGGTATAGTACAGCTACACAGTTTCTAAATTTGCTTTTCATGTGTCTCTTGACTAATTGTGATTGCACAAGCAGCACATTTGGAGAATCAAATGTGTATGAAGGCTGGATAGATCTATATTCATGATCCTTTATCATCACTAACTTTGCCACTACTACAACTGCTGAAGGACATCACTGGGCAGTTAGATAAATTGTCAGTAATGTAGAATATTCATTCTGTCACATCTGATGTGTTTTGTCTTCTCCTCTCTCAATCAGTGTACTTTGTGCAAGATGACGGAAGAGGTCATTGTCATTGCCAAGTTTGACTATATGGCCCAGCAGGACCAGGAGCTGGATATCAAGAAAAATGAGCGCCTCTGGCTCCTTGATGACTCTAAGTCCTGGTGGAGGGTTCGAAATGCCACCAACAAAACAGGCTTTGTGCCGTCCAACTACGTGGAGAGGAAGAACAGTGCCAGGAAAGCTTCGATTGTCAAGAATCTAAAAGACACGCTAGGTACAAAAAAGAAATCTTTTATGGCTTCTGCTTTCCACATGTCATAGTTATAAGCAATGACCATGCTTAAGTTTATGCTCACCAAAGTCCTTGTTTATTTATTTTTTTTATTGTTGGAGCTCACAAAACACCTGTTAACCTGCAGAGACATTGCATTTGTATATCTTCAGTCACTTGTCAAATGTTTTGGCTGTAAGCTGACTTTGTGTTTCATACATAGTTTATTTATGTTAATTAACATAGCAAAGTAGAGCCACGGAGCATTGTTTATCAAGGCCAGCTGTACCACAGTTTGTTTTTGACCACAGCATTACTATATCTACTGATGTCAGGCTAATGTTTAATTGATATAATGCCGTAAGCTATGTTTTTTCACAGTGCACTATCGTGAAGATTTAGTATCTTGGTGGGGAGTGTCTATTGTGTCGTATCTCATGTAAAGTGGTGTTTTATTGTGAAGCATTTGCTCAGGGAAGCCAGTGTTATATTTTCTTGATTTCAGCTATTCATTCAGAGGTTAAATACAGTTTGTTTTACAACTGTGGCACTTGTGAAAACTAGCTAGTGTTTTGTTTGTTTGTTTTGTATGTAAACAGTCACCAGGGAAGATTACTCCCCTGTTCTTTTATCACAGCAGAATTGATGCTGAACAGGTGTCGTCTCCTCTATTAACACAGCAGTAATATTTCTGGGCAGTGCCATTTGCCAAAGGCCCTGTGCATGTAGGAATAAGCCAAATGCAAGCCAAGGTTACTGTTTGTCTTAGCTTAATTCTTCTCGATGACAGATATTCATGATAAACTGGGATACACTACACACTAGCATTCAGTCTGTATGATAGCTAGAATGCTTGGCATTTGTTTCACCTGTCATTTCACTTCTGTGATTTTATAAAATGCAGTCTTGCCTCTAGTTTCAGATCCATTTCATGTTGTAATCTCCAGTCTGTTCAGCTCTGTGGGGCGTCATTGTCAGGGTTAAGAACACTGATGGGACACTCATGTTTGTTGGTATCCTTCAGCCATATTTGCTGTTAGATTTGCCACTCTGGGGACTGAACGTCTGCTTGGTACTGACAGTAAATCACAGAGAGCTGTGTAAATAAAAATAATAACGTGTATTTAAATAGGAAATGTATGCAATCAAATAGGAGAAAGAACTAGAGAAGAAGAGACCCTATTTAAATATGTAAATAAATACACACTGTGGCAGAAGGGCTTTCAAATTAATATATACGCTGGTTATATTTACAGTTTACTGTACTGGGGTGATTGCTGTGTCCTGTCATAGAAGTATGGATTAACTGTTCATGTCCGGGATGTGAGGGGTCTGAAGGGTGAATGTAGTATTGTCTGTTTGTTTTAGTTTTATCAATCTTATTTGGAGGCTGAACTATAAAAGCTCAAGCCATCACCTGCTGTTAATGGGCCTATTTGACAGAAACATCAAACCACACTTATGAGACTGACAGAAGAAACAGCTTTATCTTCTTTGCTTATCTTTGATGTGGTGATGATGTGCTCCTGTGTAGGGTGGCCTCTGCAAGGAAGCCCTGAGACCCAGACGGGCTTTTCCCCTGCTGAAAGGATTGAAAGAATGGGGGTAGTCAGGGCACTGCTAACCAGAAGTGTGTCAGCCATTTATAACGATAGCAGACTTCAGTATTTGCAAAACACTTACTGTACCTCTTAGACACGTGAACTATATTTTCCTGTCAGCTGCATAGCAGTCGGTCTGTGTGTGTGCGTGCGCATGAGTATTTTGGAAAGAAAAGGGCTGTGTGCTAAAATGCTATGAAAAATAATATAATAACAGAAAAAAGTTCTCTAGATGCAGCTCATTGATTGAAATTGACCAGACCTTTCCAGTTATACTACATTCTGCTGTTGCTTTAAATCTGATCAGTCTGCTTTGCCCTGAAGTGTGTAGATTTGTGTTGTCGTACAGTCACGAGTCTCCCAACAACTTCTACCTGTCACTGATCAAATAACCTCAGGAGAACAGCTGCATGAATGACACACGCAAACACTCAGGTCTCACTCACATATATCCAATAAGACAGAAGTAAAACTAAGCCTTGTTAAACACTAATATAATTATATAGCCATAGAATTTTTGTAAATCCTTTGCCTCATATAATGGTGTTTATGGTAGGAGATTGTGGGTGAAGCAGCCTGATGATCATTCTTTCATATGTTACGTGGGTGGAAAAATCAAAAAAAAATTTCTTGTTTAAAGAAGCCTGTAGCAGGGTGTGTAGCGGTGTCGTCTTTGAAAGAATGTGTGAGGGTATAATGTGTCTGCAGATGGCTGTGTTTAGCTGTGCAAGTGTGTGTGTTTCTATGTTTGAGGCCAAATGCTTCTTGGGTTTGTTGTAAAGTTGTGAGTGTGTCTGTACAAACAGCTGCAGTCATGTGACACTGAGTCACTCAGCCACTGCAGTGTCCCCATAGTCTGTTTTCTAGCCTTGTATAGATATCAATCCAATGTTAAATTATGTTTAAACAGTCCCCCTGGCTCCTTCTTCCCCTTTCCATGAGGCCTCTGTACTCTGCCTTCCAGAACTAGACTGCTAGACTGGAGGTCTCTTTGCTCTACACTCTCATTGGATAAGATTGACCACATGGTCAAGGAGTGGGCCGCCCTGCTCCACTATCTGCCTAGCTCTTTTTGGGTGTTCACATGGAACAACTCTGCAGCTGCAGTGGGAAGAGAACAGGGGCCGGGAAAGAGAGAGGGAGAGGCAGCGAGCCCAAAATGGACATGGCTAACCTATTCAAGCATTTCTTTCGTGAGTTTTCAAATTTCCTAGCCTTCTGTAGCTCTTTAAAGTGTTGTTACAAATGGTGAGAAAGCTTTTGTCTGATTCC